TCAATACGGACTTCATTTTCCATATACTGCTCATCATGGAATATATAACAGGAGCCCCCCCACCCCGTCCCGCCACCCCTTTACCTACCCAAAGCAAAGTAGTAGGGAACAGGAATGATTTTGGGGATAAATACTGTACACTTTTTACAAAGCCTGAGGCAGAGGGGCGGGACTATTTTGCTTTAATCATTCCAGTAACGTCCAGCATGTTTTCTTTGAAACTTCTGTGTATTTAGTGTCGAATCACTTACATGTATGGTCAAATGAGGTAAATATGTATGTCGGTGTTGTTTTTTAGTAGACGATATAGCTGGAAGGCCCTTATTTGTTAACGCATGCAACTTTCGCTTTGTTAGTTTGCATGGCTCTCGATCATGTGTGCACTTTACAATCAAAGAAAACAATGTCTTATGCCGCCACATTTTTTTGGTTGTACCGTTTTGTTAATATGTTTGTTTTTTAAATGTATGATTATTTATTATGACTCTCTAAAGGTTGGATGGGGGGGGATTGACTTCATTTACTAGTTCTGCTGCCTATTTCATCATGACCCTGGCGATGCTGGAGTTTTACCATGGTCCCCATGAATGTGTTCCCTGTGGATGTGCACATGAATACAAAAATCTGTTTGTTGTCGGGTATTTTGTTCCTAAACCACGTCCGTAGTGTAAAACGACGTATTTGCCCCCCCTCCTCGCCCTCTGGAAACACTCTGGATACGAATCATTTTTGCGCATCTTGTTCATTTTCCCTTCCCCCTGATGTTTTCCCGAACTTGATTGTTGTGCTTAACTGGTGATGATATGTGAATTCTTTCGTAAGACTATTCTTTATTGTGAGTCATGTGCTGCGGTGTCGAATTGTGCAACTCAAAAGGCCATGTATGCGTGCCCTGTCCCTTCGGCATTTTTTCCTTTTTTACGTACACGTTGCTGTATATGTGAGCATGAGCATTTGTGTGTGTGTGTGTGTGTGTGTGTGTGTGTGTGGTTGTGCGAGTGTGTGTGCTCGTCTGCTGTTGGAGCCCTCGGTCGCACCGGCCTCGGGCGCAAGGGGCTTCTCTGGTCTGCAGGTCTATGGTATGCAGCTCTAGCGCTCCAGTTCTGTGCCGACTTCATTCAAATGTTAAGAAAAGTAATAAGACTAAAAAGCCAAAGCATTATGCGAGTACAGAGCACAATGTTACAGTCGACTGTATTGTGTAGTCCACCCTGCCCATAAATCTTGTGAACTATCTTGCGTATACATTGACTGTTTTCAGTTCCACCGCTTTCAGCGACAAGGTTCTCGATATAAAAGGTTTATTTATTTGTTTCTATTCATTCTGAACAATATGTATAATGTATACTACACAAGCTTGTTAGTTTTAAAGCACTTTCTCCAAAAACAGCTACGTACAAAACAAATATCCCCCAACAATGTTCAAATGTTTTGTGTACTGTATGTTGTTTTTTTTCTTGCTCCCCTCAATGATGCTGTTTATGTTACCATTTTCACTTGTTCAACTCACTTGCATTGCTTCCTCTGTGCTGGCAATACATTAGACGTAGACATTAGATCAGCTCTGGTTAAAAGAAAATGAAATAAAAAAAATCTGTATACTGACATGGGCACAGATCTGGATGAAAGTTTCCTCAGTTGTCTTATTTTCATTTTTCAACACTGTTTTTGGATGTTTGTCACACAGACACTGATATGACCAGACAGCACTGGCATAACACAGCACATTGAGAAGGCATTTTGTAAATGAGTGAAAATTACAAACTATTATATATAAAAAAAACAATGTACCTTTTAGAGCTTAACTGCATAATAGTCTTTTTGGTTGGGGTTGTTGAGTGCCTCATCACTGCAGGTGAATAAAAAACCCTTAAGCCCAATCCGCATGGCAAGCGAACGGCGACACAACAAAGCTAGAACGCTTCCGCCGTGATCGACGAAGATGTCTGCTGCTATGTAGACTGCTTTGTAGATTGTAATGCTCGCTTAGTTTCCACATGTGCTTTAGCAAAGACTTTTACGTTAACTGATACGACTTCTCGGTCCACGGCTAATGAGCGCCCAAGACCTGCGATTGTGATTTTTCTCAACAGCCCCAGCCATGATCCTCCTTAATTTCATCCCCTTTTGTGTCATTCCTTTGATGTATATTCCCATTAAACTTTATACCAGTATTCTTGTTTCAGTGTTAGATTTAGAATGAGGAAACGGTTTGTGGAGATGATCATTTTGCTGAAATCACAGTTTGAGCACCATCAATTACAGAGAATGGCCTGTAATGATGTGATGAAAACACTATACTAATTAGAACGGGAAGATGACTGGATAAGGATGACATAACTGAATAATACCATTATCAAATGTGATGAATTATATCACTACGATGATTTAAAGAATCCCGAGAAGTTGTGTTATATTAGTAGTACTATTGAATGCTCGCGATTTTGTCAATCTGAACTGAATCTTTGTCTTGTAATTATTGTAAATATTTCAAAGAGTGAAAAAATGACTTGCATGTCCATGTATAAAACTACTAAAATAGTTCCTGTCAAAGTTGTGAGGTTGATTGATTTTCTTGTTCTTTGCCCTGGTCGCAGCGATTTGCTGCCGACCGCGTGCTCGCTTGTCTTAAAGCAGCATCCGACGCTTTCAGTGATGTCAAGGGTGCTCTATAACGAAGGAAAGGAACAATGCTTTACCATCAGATTCAATACAATACGTTGCGTTACCTCAGAGAGCCATTACCGGTTCAACTCTGAGGGAAAAAAGTGCTTCCCTCCATGTACACCATCGATAGGTCTACAGGTCAAATGCACACCATCTGTAGCTTCCAGGCACCTTGAATGCTTTTCTTTGCAGAGGTCCACCACATTGGCGATGGCAAATTTCGTGGTACGTGTTTTGACGCTTTCATAATCAGTGTCGGTTAGAGAACCTTGCGTGAGTAGACTGTAGCATGGCTGAAACTCAAATGCTCTAGTTAAAGGTAACGCGGGATGAGATCTGCTCTTATACGAAGAGCGCAGTTCTTGGGATTTGGAAGTTTTTTTAAAAGTACAGTAGGAAAACAATAATGCTCAAAGCAAACAGAAAAACACTCATCTGTGCAATACAAAGAAAAGGGCTTTCTCACACACGCATTTGAAAGCACTGAAGAACGCTGACTTCAATATTATTTTGGGAGTTGAGGGAAACAACAGCCACTAACCGTGGTTCCAGCCGTCGTTTTACGTGTCGCCAAACGTCTTCTCGCCCAACTAGGATTTAAGTTAAAAGTGCATTCAGGGCAGAAACCACAATGAGATGGGCACCAAGGATGGGAAGGAAGAAATTAAATCGATTCCTGCAACTTTGACTGGAATTGCAACTTCTGTCTTTTATTTTCTGTGTGTGTATGTGTGTACTGTATTGTAAAAAAAGGAAAAAGATACAAACAAACAACATAACTGTCCCTCTCTCCCCCCTCTCTCTTGTAATACTGTTTGCTGTTCTGTTTGGTTAGTGTGGCGTACCAGTATCCCTCTCCTCCCCTAAAACCCTTTGCTATCTTCCTCCCTTCTCTCACAATCTCTCTCTCTCTCCCTCTTTTCTCCATTGATCTTTAAGATGAGAACTCTATGCAGATGCTGTCTTTTATAAGTGTGTCAAAATTTTAAGTTGAAATGAAAAAAGAAAAAAGAAAAACCCCAACAAACAGATATTATGAACTGAAACAAAAAATAAAGAAAAAACGATTGTCCAGTGTACAACCGCTGTTGTTGTCTTCCCTACTTTTACTCCTTTCTCAAATCATGGGTGGGGTGGAGGATGTCAATAATGTGAAAAGGAAGCTTGTATATTCATCAAGCATATATACTGACAGTGTTTTTCAAGCTAATTTTCACACTGCACTGCCGGGTGCATCGTCATTATGGATTTAGATGTTTTTGCCAACTTTCTAGGTGAAATATAAACAGTTGGAGTTTCAAGTACTGCCTGCTGGCTTTCCATCATAAAAACTAAATTAAATCAATAAAGAGATTTGATCCTGGAAACCATTCAGAAAGGCCACTGTGGTAGCAGCATCAGGTTTGATCTTCACCTTAATTATGTACATAATATGTTGTAATTTGTGAATTGTGTGAATGTCAATTTATAACAACAAAAATGACATAAGTCCCATCTGAATCAGTTAATGAAATAAGATGTCCACCTGGAAATTGTAACTCGAATGTCATTTAGCACACTAATTCCAAACGAACGGTGCTAAAGATGTTTCATCCACTGTAAAGTGTTGGACACACTTTCAATTAACCATTAAGCCAGCCACATTCACCCCAGACCCCTGTGTGCAAAGTAGATAAAGTTATTTAGAAAGATAATGGGGTTTTGCTCAATTACGTTGTTATTGATTGAAGCAGAAGATGCCCTGGGAGCTGTGCAAGACCAACAAGTGCTTATCATTACTCTAAATTAATTAATTTAGTCATTGCAGTGAAAACTTGCCAAACTTGGCAGGTATGAAGGGCTGGTTTTCCAGTTGCTAAGCAACAGGCTGTAAATTTTCGTTTAAAAATAATTCAGCCACTGTGCGCTGTTTGAGCTACAAGCTTCGTATGTTAATCTTTTATGCCGAGGTTTAGATATATTTCTCTCAATTCAGACAAAACATGAATTATGCATGTCATTTTTATAGGTGGAAAAAAAGACCTGGATGATGCATGCCATTTTCACTCCACATCCTTTAGAAACACTTTTCAAGCATGTATTTTGGACCCAAAACATGGACTTCACAGCCTCAAAACAGGTGTAAGTTGTCAAAATCGCATGCATTGGACTCACGTAGAAATGTCTCATCTGAAATTGAATTAAGAAGCTGCAAATATTGCATTCTCTTGCTATCAAGCCACTGAAGTGCTGCTTTGAAATTAAATGAATGAAACATGTCTAGGCTGCTAAATATCTTGACTGGTTTCAGGGTATTGGCCAACAGACAAGACTGTCTGAAGGTGAAAACTTACCTAAAGGATCTTTCACCATCTAGTGGACACTCTGGGACCTCCAGTCAACCTTTCGGTCATTCAAACACAATTCTTTGCCCAGCAGCCCCTGAGAATTAAATTCACACACACACATTGCATTTTACAATTCTTAGTATTCCACAATCATGAGTTGTCATCTTTTGTGTATAAGCTGTACTAAGCTATCTCACAAGGTCAGTGTGATATATATATTTCACGTATTCTGAAGCCATTTGATAAGATTTGTGTGGAGAAAAGACCACAATTTAAGCAGATATTTAACGGTAATATTCACCTCAGCCAATGTCGTTTTGGCGTCAGTGACGCCAACGCGCCATTTCTGGACGCGAACGCGCGCTCAGATATTTAACGGTAATATTCACCTCAGCCAATGTCGTTTTGGCGTCAGTGACGCGAACGCGCGCATCGGTTTGATGGAAAATAGGTGTATATAACCGTTTCATTTTAGTCAGTTCCTTACACTGAATATTTTTAGGATACAATGCTTAAATCATATTGAGTATTCTTATGAAACTTTTATGATCCTCTTTGGTTATTCGGGAGTTTAACAGTCGTTGTCAAAATGAGCTGTCCTTATATGGAAAGAAATTAGTTTAGATTCCTCAAAAAAACGATTCACAGGTTTGAAATGACATGAGGGTGAGTAAATAACGACATAAATTTCAATCTGGAGTGAACTATTCCTTTTAGGATGAATGTTGTTATGCTTACATTTCTCAAATGCTAAATTGCCTAATATGACCAAGGTATTTTTGTATAAACACACATTTTTATACATTAGAATCGTTACCTTCTTCTTCTTCTTTTGGAGTTTTATGGCTGGCTGGCAAACAAACGATAGGTGCATTCCCGCCACCAGTGTTGCCAACTTCTTTCAATGGAAAGTAGCTAATGCTGTGTTCAAGTCCTCCTGGGACGTTCGTACTTATGAGTTGACAAGTTGTAATTACAACGTCAGGTGCCTTCAAGTCAGTTTAGTCGGCACAAGATGGCGGTGTACCTTCTTTTAATAAATTACAAGAAAATACAACAGGGTATGTTAACTCTGCTTATAGAAAATGAAGAGCAAAGAATTTGCATCAGGTGTGTTTTGCGTTTTTAATCTTTTTAAAACATGCAACATGGCAAATCAAAACATTTTTCACCAATAAAAATGATAGCATTTTTTAACTTGGATTTCATTAACTAGCTGCGTAACAAGAACATGACCAATTTAAGTTTATAGGACAACTAAACTATCAATTTAAACAAAAATTTACCGTCAACTACAGACGTTGCATTCATCGATTCCGCCATGTTTCTCATTGACACGCCCCCAACTCGGGGCTTAAAGAAAATTTCGAGTTTCCCACTCGTAATAACGACTTTGTGGTGGCGTTCATGTGCGATCAACTCGTAAATACCATCTATCCGACATGACTTGAACGCACCATTAAGCCTGCTTGAAAAGGCGCTAAATTACGTCATACGCCAATTAGCATATTCATGACGTCAGTGCGTCATATTGTCTCGCCTCTCTGTGCTCACAAACTGTATTTTAATGCAGCCAAATTCTCAACAGAACTGTTTTCATTGATATATTTCAGTTTCTGTTGTCAGAAAACGGGATGAATATGAAATAGTGACTGAAACGCAGCCCATTAAGACTAACCAGCTCTCCCTTACAAGATGTTAATCTGCACTAAAATCCTGATTTATAATCGAGACGTCATCTAATGAAATCAAATACACATAAGATAAAGACAATGGCTGTGCTGTGATTTCGGATATTTGCATGTAAAATAGAGTTAGATGCGACAGAATATCTATTTTAACTTAAAGCACTGCTCCTCTCTGCCGCTGGCTGAACAGCGCTGGGAAAACAAGACCTCGCGCTAACGCGGCAGTACCCCCGGCCCCGGGTCTCAGAGACTAAATAAGGTTTGTCCAAGAAGTCGCTAGATTTGTCGCTAGGCGCTTTTTTGGAAAAAAAAGTCGCTAAGTTGGCAACACTGCCCACCACCTACTGGGCTGGAGTGTGGACCATTGATGGAATAGGAAGAACTAAATAAAAAAAATTTAAATAAAAAATTAAACCCTTCTAAATCCTGTTAAACTGATCTACTTTTTTTGTAAGAATGTCATTAAAGCATTAAATATTTTATAATGAGAATCGTTACCTTTGCGATATGCGAGTTTTGTGATCTGCTGCTCGATAACTGAGGTAGAATGGCGCGAGTTCATCTTAGCGATCAGCTTAAACAAGGAACAGGGTAATGTAAAACAGGGGCAAAATCCTATGTGGTTTTAACTGTACAAGACAAGTAATGAATTCATTGTGTTCTTATTTGATTACTCAGTTAAGATCTTACTGACCACAGTAAACAAACTGCTTACCCCAGCTGTCAGGTGCATTAAACATCCTAAAATCCTAACATTCATAATAAACATACTTTACCAAGGACACCATGACATTGAAACCAGATGGTGGATGGTAACTCTTTCAGAACACCAACCATGAGTGGCAAACTTTCACACATAAATTTAGAGTGAATGTTACATTCATTTTCCAGCTATTTATTTTTATTATTTGAGAGCATTGAGGTTATAATTCAAACATGTTCTGTTAGGAAATGAATTATCAAAATGTAGTTTAAAAAAAGTATACGGTCACATATATGTATGTGTGTGTGTGCATATATATAAACAATATATATGTATGTTTATATATATATATAGCTTATTTATACATATACAAGAAAAAAATATTAAAACTTAATTCCATTTATATTTGGAATCAATCCTTGCCAAAGTAGCAACTGTGCACCTGGGAAGAACTTACTTTTTTTTTTTTTCTACTATCCAATTGTGTAAAATTTGCAAGGGTATAGGTACATACATATATAATCTTCCCGTGCTTTGATCATAGCACATACAACTTCATTTTCACTCAAAATACACTGACTTAGCACCAGTGCTCCCAGGTAATATAGGTTGAAAACAAGCTCAAAATAGTAAAATACAATTAAATAAAGAAAAAGAGAAAACCAAAACAAATAAATACATGGGTTAACATGGTGTAACTGAGGAGTTAAAATAAGATTGCCTTGCTGATTGTAATGATCACAAAATAATTCCTTAACGCGTGAGCTTAAAGAGTGAAACCGGCACATCCAATCTTGACATGAGCGTGGGAGAGACAGTCACAACATCACGTGAGAAAAACAATATAATAATACAGTGATATGTTTACACTCATTGTACTGCAATCAAAACACACATTATTACAGTTCCCTGTTTATTGCACAAGGGACAGAAATGTTCGTTTAAAAGCATAACAAATAATGGCAACGAAAGAGGAGATTACAGTCACTATAACAAGTGTTCTTTAGGAGCCCTGCCATTCCTGACTCTGTGTCCGATAGCCTCTGGAGGGGTCGAAACAAGAAATCCTAAAACTGGGAGCTCTAAAACTAGCGTTTTCTGTTTCAGTTACAAGTGTTAATATAAATAAAATGCATACTACGGTGGTCTTTTATAAAAGTTTTCCTGTAAATAATACAGTCAGAGATACAATACAATACAAGGTGAAACCAAATGCCATTACAAGCCTATCAATATACATTTTTCCCCCTTTCATTTTTCTCCCATTTTTTTTTCATAGCACAACCTATCGTTTCTATACACTAGCAAGTTAGTTGCAGTTTTAAAATATGGGTTCTGAGCAACATCATAAAATTAAAGGGGGAACGAATGAATGACGCCACTAAGAAATGAACCCAATAAGCGCAATGCTGTCATCTGCTGAATAATAAGGTTTGAAGCTCATCTTCGTGCTGCAAGGACCACACAAGTTAGAAAAGTTAGAACATTAACAGAAAGGGGGAGGAATACAAAAACATTTTTTTGACAGTCTTACACAACAAATAAATGTGTTGCCTCCAATAACTGAAGACGTTTCAAATACGCTCTATACACTGTTAAACATAGTTACTTCTACTTGTTAAACATACAAGTTGCTCGACACGTCTCGGAATTCATCGGACAGTCAACGCGTTTTCTTTGTATTGTCTAGGATTGAAAATTGAGAATGCTTTCGAGACTCTCAATCAAAGCTGGGCATGGGATGAAATGTATGGTTTTCCAATGCGTGTTTCTTGTGGCAGTTACCCTGACCGTGGGGAAACGTGTCCATTTTGAACCTAAAGTCACTATCATTTAACCTGCCCATTGTGACATCACTAAAACAATACTGATCTAACAGTACCATGGTGGGAAATGTGCTATTTAATACACAATATATATGGAAATGTCTCATCCGAAAGCAATCCGTTTTCAAGAATTAAAAGAAGACGCCAGCTAGTTTGCACTTCTTCGAAAGGCTGGTATCAGAAATGAAGGCAGTGGCCCTCAATGTCCCCCACCCCCAAAGGGAACTATGAAAATGCAAGTAAGGTCACCTGTGGTGTTTAGGATGAGAGAAAAGGTGGGGAAAATGTCACTATGACCTAAACCTAACAGTCATTACGCGATGTAACAAATCCATTGTTTAATCCAATGTTTCAGGGTACATGCAGGGACAGTTCTCTTAACCTAAACAACAACCCGTTCAACAAAAGCCTCACAGCCACACCTCAAGCACTAGAGATGTCTGAGAATAAAAGGAATGGGGGTTTTGGCACCTCCAAAAGCCTTGGCATGAATCTCCGAAACAAACCGAAAGTTCTGCTTCCCCAGTTCTCACCACTATAAAAAGGGCCCAGACGGCATACCCAAGAAGTGGGTGCTCATGTTCAGACTTGAAGAAGGTGCCGAGCTGTTCCAGTGGACCTTCTGATGGTGCCTTAAGTTGGATTTGCTGGAGAAGCGCTTATCACACTGCTGACACGAGAAAGGCTTCTCCTTGGTGTGGATGCGGCGGTGGCAGATGAGCTGGGTGGAGACCCGGAAAGCCTTACCGCAGTCCGGGCACTGGTAACGCTTGGGTTCAGTGTGGATGCGTCTGTGGTTTTTGAGTGCCATCAGGTTGGAGAATTCCTTCTGACAGGAGTTGCAGAAATAGGTGCCCATCTTGTGGCTGTTCTTGTGATTCAGAAGTGAGCTGGCGTGACGGTAACCACGGCCGCACTGATCACAGACATGCGACTTACACCCCGCCTCACTGCGACTCTGCTGTTGCTGCTGTTGTTGTTGATGCCCAGATGAGCTGCTACCACTGGGGCCATGGTGTGATGGTTTAAGCTTTGGGAGCCCATTAGGATCCAATCCCTGGGCCTGCATCAGCGTAAGGTCAAGCCCAGAGCCCCAACCCACATCTGAGCCACTGGACGAAACCCCAGGCTGTTGCGATGTTTTTGGGGCACGGCCATGTTGCATTTCCAAGTGGAGTCGGAAGCTAGCCTGGGTAGGGAAGCTCCGCTGGCACAGAGTGCAGGCAAACTCCCGCTCTTTTTGGTGCACACGGCGGTGGTTTTGTAGTTGGGAGGAGACGCGGAAAGCCTTGCCGCATTCTGGACAGCGGTGCCGTCGAGTTTCAGAATGGATGCGACGATGGTTCTTGAGTGCGAGCAGGTTGGAATAGGTCTTGAGGCACACAGCGCAATGGTAGATGCCGACAGTGTGGGTGTTTTTGTGATTAAGGAGTGAGCTGGCATGCCGGTAAGATCGGCCACACTGGTCACATCTGTGAAGACAGAGGAGAGGAAAAGTAAATCTCCCCTGCTCACTGTCCTTTTAACCCCTCAATAGTTAGTAACCTAGATTAGTCTGAAAGTAACCTGACAACATGTAGCTGACTTCTATGATAACTGCATTGACGGATACACAAATACAGGTATATGATCTTGAATCCAGCTGCCAAAAATAAAAAAAACTGGCCCAGTTTGGAGAGGAAAACTTGAATAACATTGCCTATTAAGGCAGTGAATAAACTGAATATGAATTGTAACAAAGTATCCACCAATTGTGTTTGGTGTTCAAATAAAGGCAGTGGTATAATATTCTATATAATTTATGGTGGTAATATATGAACTGTAGATGTATAATTTTGTAACAGTCTACAGGACAAACCTAGTCATGAGAAAAATGTACTGCAAATCACTGTTTGTTTTCAAACTCATAGTACTTATACTAAAAGATTCAACAGGTAAATGTTACCATGTATAGAAAGAGTACACACAGGAAGCCTTTTTTTTAAATAACATAATTGTACAGCAAATAAGGTTTTGGGATTAATGGTCGGAATAAAACTTGGAAAACAAGTGTGGTGAACTTGTTTTCCAAGCACTAAGCACATGTACGTAGTGAAGCAGCACGTTTTGTTTTTTCTTTCTGTGAATTTATGAATGTTTGTTCTCATCATGTAATATGATAATACGGAAGTAGTGTGTTAGTGTTAGTATGTTGACACATTTCTAAAACTGTTTTCTGCTTGATATTTATATTGTCTTGACAGCAAATGGAGCAAAGTTTTAAGCTTTACCTTAAAAGCAACAAAAGCTATATTTATATTTAGTAATATGCATTTAATAAATGGGTTTAAGTCCCATGCTAAATGCTGTTGGGCCCAGATCAGTAGTTATTACTGGAAGCACAACAGCTGATGTAAGATGGTCAGTATGAGTACTTATGGCAACTGAATGCTCAAATGGTAACTACAGTAAACTACACCATACATTCTAGAATATTATCAATCAGATCAATAAATAAGGAGGGAATCAATGATTTGGTACAATACACACACATCTTCCTAGTAAGTACATCAAAATTCACCCATTATATCAAGACATCCTTGCAATCTAGTGCATATTGCTAACTGAAAGCAAAGGGGGGTAACTTATCTGGTCTCCACTAATCATACTGTCCAAACTTCAGAAAAATCCGAATTCCGGCACGCGTATGGTCCCAAGGAAGCCGGATTGGAGATCATATACCTGTAATAGACATGTAGAAACCTGTGATCTTTACTAGTTCACTTCAAAAATCACGAACAACAGACGTAAACTCACGTGAACCGGTATTCCTCTCCCTCTCTTGTGCTTGAAGTGGCCTTCCTCACGCCCTCCTTGCCTACCTGGTTGTCCCCGCAGCGGTGCCTGGCCAGCCCAGAACGACCCTGGAAGCTCTTCCCGCAGGTGGGGCACCCGAAACGGGTGTGGCCCTCCTCATGGACTCTCTGGTGATTCCGAAGGAAGCGGGCCAGCCGGAAAGCCTTGCCACAGGTTGAGCAGATATGCCGCTTCTTCTGCGTGTGGATACGCATGTGATTGCGCAGGGCCATGTAGTTGGTGTACGGCTTGTCACAAAATGAGCAGCTGAAGTTGCCAATTTTGTGTGTATTTTTGTGGTTCAGCAGACTGCTAGCATGCTTGTAAGAACAGCCACATAGGTCACAGGTAAAAGGGCGTTCTTCACGCTCTGGAGACCCCAGGTCACCTGTCTCCATGCTCATATTAGAGCTGTTGAGGGAGGCAGAGGAAGAAGGAAGCTGGGCACTGCAGTTATGCGAGGCCAGATCTGTGGTTGTAGTAAAGACTTGAGAGCACCCATCACATTCATATTCAGTTGGAAGAGGAGCAGTCTGCATGCTGGGACCAGGAAGGGGACCAGGAAGATCTTTGCAGAGCTGGTTGCTGGTATGTGTTTCAAGCTGCCTCTGGTTCCTGAAGCCCCTACCGCAATCAGTGCAGGCATATTTCTTAAGAGCGAAATGCATTCGGAGGTGGTTCTTCATTGCCAGTCGATTTGGATAAGTGGAGTTGCACACGTTGCAGTGGTATTCACCAATCTTGTGTAGGTTCTTATGATTGGCCAGACTGCCAGCATGACGATAAGTACGTCCACACTGATCACAAGCAAAGGGGCGGCGACCGCTGCCGTCATCAACTTGCTGGGCCCTAGCCCCCGCATACGGTTTCTTGAAACCTTGAGGTTGACCATAATTGGTGTTCACAGGAGGATTCTGAATTTTGGGCTCACCCATCCTCATAGCTTGGAGCTGCGATGGGCCTCCCTCATAGCGGGCACCATTGGGATGAGACATGCTTTGAACCCGCTGGTCTCGATCTCCGGTCTTTGCTCTGTGCTCTTCGTGTAGCCGTAGATGATTTATCAACTGCTTCTGAATCTTGAAGGCTTTCCCACACTCCTCACATTTGTGCCTGCGAAGAGACAAAACACACAAAAACAAACAGATAAGAAAGCAGTGTTAAAATGCTCTTCTAAAAAAGGAAGAAACAGAAAAAGGGAAGGTCCCCTTACAAATACAAAGATGACTACACAATGCTCAAATGGGGTACAGACGTTATGAAATTCAGACTCAACTGCGTGTATGCGTGTATATCAGTATGTTTGTTGCCCTCGTCTTCTCTAATGGGAAAAAAAAAATCACCAGTGCACACTGCCTTGACACTCAAAATTTAATTAAAATCTATTTATTCAGTGATGACCTGGGTAATCACATGAGTGGGGAACTCATGATAATACATAAGCATTCAAAGTATGCAAAGAGAACTAAACAGTTAGAGTATAATAGGGCACATGCAATGCTGGCTAACCTCTTTAAGTCAAAATGAGTCCTCTGGTGGTTCTTGAGAGCCAGTAGGTTGTAGTAGCGTTTTTGGCAGACAAGGCAGCGGAAGACCCCAGTCTTGTGAGATTTCTTATGGTTGAGCAGGGAGCAGGGGTGTCTGTAACTCCTTCCACACTGGTCGCACCTGTGGGGCCGATCATCAGAGTCTGGCAACTGCCGAGGGTCTACAGGGCCCCCGCTGCCACTGGTACCAGCACCACCCGTCATCCCTTTAGCTCCATTCATAGCCTTGTTCAATGCCCCCGCTCTCGCCTTGCCTGGACACAGGTGAGTGATCAGCTGATGGCGATCTGCAAAGAACATGCCACAGTCAACGCAAATGTGGTTCCGTCCATCCATTTTGCCATTAGAATTAGAGCTAGTGCCACCCAAGCCCTGTGTAGATCCATCTGGCCGGGGATGTCCGTGGACTAGCTGGTGGTTAAGCAAGTCCTGCTTTCTGTTGAAGCTCTGGCCACATGTGCTACAGATCAAAAGACTGGTTGTACTACCCTCTTGTCGCCTCCTCCACTCTTGCTCACCTATTGGAGAGAGGGCAGAGGAGGGTCCTGCCCCATGGTTAACCCCATGGCTTCGTAAGTGGCTACGAAGTGCCCTCAGGCTGGCGTAATGGTTTCCACAGATTGTGCACTGATAAACCTCTCCATCGTCATCATCGTCTTTGTTATCCATTCTTTTACTGTTGCCCTGGGAGTTGTCTTGAGCACCTCCAAACTGCATCGGGTCATGACTACGTCTCTGGCGAGCACTTTCTTTGAGGTTGGCACTGCCTGCTGACAGGGAGGCACCACCAGGACTATGGAAGCTTATGTTACCCATGTAACCATTGGTCATACCGCCTTGGTTGACACTGTTTGCTTGACGATGGTTTTGTGGAAGAGGTGAGTGACCAGAATTGCTTTGGGCAAGAGAGTCATCGAATCGGTCATGGAATTCCAGTGAATCCAGGCCACTGTTATGGGAACCGTCTGGGACAAAGTGTGCTGCATCACCAAGATTACCGGGCAGTGAAATTGGCGTTGTTGCACCACTCTCCTGATCCTGAGAATGTACAAAGCCTTGTTGAGAGTCTAGCCCTGTCAGTGGCTCAGAGGAAAGCCAATCTCCCTCTGTACCCATCGATTGTGAATTTGGCCGGGTTTTGTGACTACGGAGGTGGCTATGAAGTGCTGCTAAGTGTGGATACTGCTTACAGCAAACAGTGCACTGATAATGACCAGTTTGATGGGAGCGTTTATGATTAACTAGACTCCCAGCATGTCGATAGCTTTTCCCGCACTCTTGGCACTTAAATCGGCGTTCAGCATCATCAATGGCTGCAGACTGCTCCTGTGACCTTGTCTCACCATTGGATGATGATATTGATGGTTGAGAGTTTGAAGCCAGTCCAGCAGAATTTAAAATAGCAGGGCCACCTTGAGCATGTGCTGTGGTGTGAGGGTCATGGGTAAGATAATGAATTTTGAGACTCTCCAAGTCAGGATGTCCCGCTCCACAATATGCACAGGTATATATGGGATTATTAACAGGAGGGCCTAGCATTGGGTCATAACGCTTGTCGGGTAATGGAGGCAGTGGAAGAGGGTCACCTAGAGCAGGTGTATAAGGATTCACCGCTGGGGAGCGAACAGAACTAAGATGATGAGGCACTATCCCTGGGAAACTACGTGTTAGCCCCAATGAAGATGACGCAGCATTATGTAACAAAAGGTGCTCTTGAAAGTCATTCTTATTAGGCAAAGCAACTTGACAAAGATGACAAAAGCTGGGTGCCATGTCATCATTCTGGGGGCCAAGGGGACGAGGGTCAGATGGTCCTTCAGGCACAAGGGCTCCCATGGACATTCCAGGGGGCTTAAATTTTGAATGAGTGCGTTCGTGAGCACTGAGAGCTGCAAGATTATTGAACTGTTTGTAACAGACATTGCACTTATACGTGCCCTCTTGATGAGATTTCTTATGGTTTACCAAGCTGCCATGATGACGATATGTCCTGTCACATTGGTCACATTTGAATGGTCTGTCCCAGGCATCTTCAGATCCTGGAGATTTTTGTTTGTCGTGGTCATGGCCAGGCATCATTCCACTGTTGTTAATGTGACTCCTGAAAGCTGCATCAGACAGATTTTGTGCTAGATTATAATCCCTTTCTTCATCAACATTGTCATCGTTCTCCTCTTCAGCTTGGGCACTTGGAGACAGGGTGTGGATGCGGAGGTGGTTTTTGAGCGCCACTGCATTGGGCAACGTTCTGGTGCAGACAGGGCACTGGAAGGAGCCCATTTCATGAGTTTTTTTGTGAGAAGCCAAGCTACTGGCATGCTTAAAAATGCGTCCACACTGCTCACATTCAAATCTGCCATTCTCTTCTTGATGATAGTGTGCTTTCATGTGCTCCAGTAGGCTAGGTGTACTTGGGCAAATGATGTCGCATTCTTTGCAAGGGAAACCCTTGGCACGATTCATATCATGCATAGCCATGATGAGAAAATTGAAATGGAAGGGGGAAATGTCCACATAAAATGATCCTCGAACAAAGAAGAAAAGGGGGCAATGTGTGATGTTCAGCTCTCTGCTTCTGTAGTATCAGCCATTTTACCTGGGTGACAGATATTCTCTCCAATCAGCCTTTCAATTCCACTCGATCACAGCAGTTCAGAGAGGGTCTGGACAGTTGTGGGGCATCAGAGGAAAGCTGAGAAAATACAAAAAGAAACAAAATTAATTTAACTTAATGTATCTTTATTCACCATTTTAATATATATAAGTGACAGAAACAGTTTATAAATATAAATTCTAGTTTGAAACTTCCTCACACTAAATGTGTTGCAAGCAAAACAGGTTCTTAAATCTGTTCATTAAGAGTAATCAAGAACCTTTGACACAAACCATTCACTGTGATATACATGTGGCCACATTATGTGATGTTAGCTTTGACACATTTGATCTCACATTTAAGTCATATGACTGACGCACAGGTTCAAAGCAGCTGAAAATGAGCCAGCTTTGTGTACCTGCATGTTGACGTCAACTGTACACAGCACAGCCGATAACTCTGCTGTCTTTGTTTACACAGGCACAAAAAAAAAACTGCATAAGCAACGCTTTACCAAGGGTAGGTAAATTAGAGATTATCTGCAATACATATGGGCAAGGCCTAAAAAGATAAAAGATATAGTGACCACCTAGATGATCAAGACAACTTTTTGCAGAATGTACTCTAAATATATCAAGCAACTGCATGGTGATTTGGGGCTATTGCATCCTTGGGACCTTCAAGAAATGCAGTCACTAAAAACATACAGTCATCCAAATAACACTAGAAAATCCTTTCTGGAGGAACTGAACTGAAGCAAAATAAATTTTCCTACATTTTGGAATGTTCATCTCTTCCTTCTTCAACCCAATAGAAATGTTGATCATGCAAGTATTTTATGCAAGACTAAAAACATCAATGTGCCAAAGCACTTTCGTAAACAAGAAGTTTGGGTCAAAATATCTCTAGGCAAAATTGATTAACAGATACTCACTAATGGCTGTCTAACCATTGAGCTGTTCCTACGTTTGACAAAGAATTTGAATGTAGATTGAATATCATTGGAGCTATTTTGACAGCTGAAGTGAGCAATTTGCAACAACAAGCAACCAGAAGTCATGCACTGTCAATACGAGCTGTCGATATAAGACTACTCAGGCCTATACAATGCAACAAAACTTAGCAGAATTAACGATGCAACACAATGACTATGAATGAGAATGCAAATGGTGTAGGTTGCTATCTGTACCCTGATACAACTAAATACAGCGGTAAGTAGGGCTGGGCAAAAAAAATCGATTTTTCGATTAATCGTTTTTTTTTAAATGACGTCGATTCGATGTCGATTCTCAAAAGCCGCGAATCGATCTTTGCCGGTATTTATTTCAGCACACATTTAAAACAAGATCTGATTAACGTGAATCTTATCATTAGTCTTCTCCACTAGATGTCACCCTTATTTACCTTGTGCGATGTTACAACAGAAAGCCTTGTCATTCATTCAGCGCTTATCATGGCCATA